TGGGCTAATGGACCCCCCTCCTCTCCACCTGTGCATGAATTTTGTGCACTGGGCCACTAGTATACACATAATAACATACATATAGAGCATAACATTTATACATATACCATGTGCTCCTAATTTAGAGTTGCTTCTCTCCCCCCCCCCCCCTTCTTATTTATGCAGAACAAATGGAAATGATTGAGGACTTGCATTTTGTTGTTGCCTCCACATTGGCTTAGATTTCACATGTCTTCTTCAGCTCCTCTACTCACCCGGCTGTGTGAATGACCCTGGCGTCCAGCCCCATGGCTCAGGCCGCTCCATTTTGTCCTTGGTTGTGGAGGACCTGCTCATCATCATGTGACAGTGGCTTGTTTTTATTTTCTTGCTGATAGCTGAGTGGTGATGCTGAGGCAATGTGCCGGCTGAGTGTGACTTCTGACAGGAAGCTGTCTAAATGAAATCAGATGACAGGCAGGGGTTCTTCTCACTCCCCACTGTGCGCACTACTGACCTTATTGGGCGATACTCTCCTTCTGCAAGGAAACTTAAAAGGCGTGTGAACACAATTTAGAAGAAAAATTTTAAACTCAGTATCTGAGCTTCAAGCTTTAGAAATTAGAGGGTGTAGCATATGTGTTGACACTTGTTTTTGTAGTATAGACAATAACCCAAACATCTAAGGATAAGTCCAGTTCTAAGCCATGGTGGTCTTGCTGATCTTTTTTGCCAAAAAATAAAAATATGAAAATCAGGTCGGGTGGAAAAGTATAATACATGTCCAACTCATTCGCTTTTACTCTATCCTTTGTTAACCTCATACCTCAGAGGTTACATTTGTCATGTTGTTTTCTCTGCTTTGGTATTTATTTCCACTGAGGGACAGAGTACAAGCCAACACCCAGTAGTTCAGAATGAAAGCCCTTTTCTCCAATTCCAACTGCTACTGGATGCTGAGGGATTTAGATGAGGCATACTTATTTAATTTACAAAAAGTTTGTTCTCACCAGGTTTTTTACTGGCTGATTTTCTTCTCATTTGTTCTGTGACATAACAGGTAGGCCTAATGAGTCAGTCGTAAAATATGAATTAATATGGTCCACAATTGATAGTTTAGAGGAATTATTATGGAAATGAGGTATAACTATTTGGTTGCAATAGGTTCTGATGTAATGACTTAATTTCTTGTATATATATTCAATTATATTGTATCGGCTAGCTATGTTACTTCATAATAAAAAATGCAAAATGTACAAGCTTTAACAACAATCATTTATTATTATGGCTCACATGTCTGAGCCTTGGCTGGAGGCTGGCTGATTTGGTGGTGGTAAGGGGCAGCTGAGTGATTTTGCAGGATGTACTCACATGTCTAACACCAACTGAGAGTTGGCTGATTTTAGCCAGGCTTATTTGGGGGTAACTCTCTTGTGTGTGTCTGTCATTCCCCTGGGATCAATAGATTGTTCTGACACATCCTTCTCATATGATGGCAAAAGTACAAGAGTGTAACTCCAGCTGTGCAAATGCATTTGTTGTTGTTATTATTATTATTTTGTTAATCCTTATTTGAGGATATTTTTTCCATTGATTTTTGGAGTGGAAGAAAGGGAGGGAAGGAGAGCGACTTAGAGAGAGGGGGGGTGGGACGGACCATCAATGTGAGAGAGACACATCGATTGATTGCCTCCTGCACATGCTCCTACTGGGGCTGGGGATCAAACTTGCAACCCAGGTATAGGCTGTTGACCAGGAATGACTTTTATGCATGGGCTGATACTCTCTCTATTCACTGAGACACACTGGCCAGGGCTGTAAGTACATTGTAAGGCTCCACTTGTGTTGGGAAGCTAATATCTCATTGGACAAATCAAATTGCATGGCCAGTCTTAAGATGAGTATTAGTCCACAGTAGGAGGGTAAAACAAGATACATGGCAAAGGACATGGATAGCTGGAGCCTTTTTAATAAAAAGTAATAAAAATATTGCAATTTATTACAAATATATTAAGGTACTCATTGACTTTTGTTAATTCAAAAGATGCTGAATGGACCTTGAGCCACTGGGGCTTCTATCTAATAATTACCATCCTAAGGCGTAAAGTAGTCCAGCAAGAAGCAGGCCATCCCCATGTGTGAACATCCACATACAGTGTATTCTCAGTATAGGCAATTTAGAAATAGCATAAAATTTAAAGACAAAAATGTCACATGTGTTCTGAATTATTCTCCAGAGATATGCTTTCAGCATATTTCCTTTAGTCTTTTTTTCCTATTATTTTTTTCATGAATAGTATACAAATTAATATCCAGTTTTGTTTCTTAATATTTTATCATAAGTATTTGCCATGTTATTAAAGAGGTTTGATGTATGTAATATTATTGGATATATAAATATTCCATTGTATGGGTGTGCCATAATTCTTTAACCTTGCCCTTGCTCTTTAGTGTTTTGGTCATTTTCAGTGTTTTGTGATTAAAAATAATGCTGTCATGAACCTGCTTGTGCACAAATATTTGTCTGCATGTTTAGCTATTTCCTTAATGGCAAGAATACTGGTTGGGTGTGCAGAGATCTGGGTTTTCCTTAATTTGCACTGTGTTTGCATGTCAGTTTCCTCATCTATAAAATGATATATTTGCACTTGATGGTCATAAACTTCTAACTCAAACAGTATCTTTCCAGTAGAGGCCTAAATTACTCTAGCGGAGTGGAGGCATGAAGGCAGCGCCAGTTGTTTGTCCTCAGAAAAGCTCAGGGGAGGAGAGGCAGCTTCCTCTGCTTCTCCCTGGAGAGAGTTCAGTTGTGTTTGAGGAAGTTTTGTTTTTTAGTTCAAGTATCATGATTTGTCCTTCAGCTTCCGTCTCTGAGAGCAATGACTTTATATAGACAAGTTTCTTTTAAGACAGGGGTACAAGACATTGAACGTTGAGAATGTAAACCATCTGGACCGATTTTATGAATGTGTGCACTTTGAGAATGGCTTAGTGCGATTGGAGGAACCAGTTTCCTTACTGCCTTCATTTTGTCATAACTTGGTATTTGCTTTTTGTGTTTATTTTTGCCTTTTCTCATGTTTGCCTTGTGACTTAAGTTTCATCACAGTTATCCGAACTTCATGACCAGGGGATCAGGCCTTGCCCTACAATTTCCTGGTAATTGCATGGGCCTTTTTTTCAGGGATGTCACCTGACCGTTAATTTTAATATACACTGAGGCTGTATATTTCATTATACTGTCTCTTGCAGCTAGATATTGCTCAGTGTGGACAGAGGAGACATCCACATGCTGAATGGAGAAAGTGTGATCTCTGATCTCCCTCCGTCTCTCCCACCCTTCCCCACATCTGTCTTCACTGTCTCTTTCCTGCAGGTGACAGTCTCCCTCCAAAGCTCCTTTTGGGAGAGGCCTTGGAGTCTGCTCTTGGCTCCTCATGCAGCTGCTTCTCTGAGCTGAGCTGGGCGCCCATCTGGCCGGCAGAAATCTGTGTCAAGTACAGTGTGGTCTCCCTCCTCGGGCTGCCATCAAAGGCTCTTTGTTCCCTCCCCTCCCCCTCTGCCAGGATGTGGCACTCACCCCAGAAAGATGGAAACTCCCCATCACTCCACCACACTCAGCAACATTCTAGAGCTAGCCCCGAACGCAAAACATCTTCTTGCCCTCTTCATTTTACTTCAGGAACTAAATTGGGGCTGGGATAATTAAGTCAATTATAATTTGGTTTTAGGGTTCAGATCATTTCCCTTTGTGAATGGGAATCTCACTCTTTCCCTGTGTTGGAAGGAAGTTGCTTATGAAATACCATTTCATAATTGTAAACTTTAGTTTTTAACTTCGGTGCCCACTCTTTCCAGCCATGGCAGTAGTGGGTGATTTCCTTGTGCTTTTTCACAAGAAAACTTGAGCCCAGTTCTTGAGTGTAAAATCATTTCATAATGTGAGCCCTGAACAGCCATGGCTCACCAGGCGTGTTGTGTGAGTGTTTAAATACTTCATGAAGCCAGGGAGCCTATCTCTGCTTTGTTTTCTCCTCATTTTAGTAAAACTGGGATTAGGTAAGGAATGCTGATTCTGGAGAATCCCTCAGTTGTTTTTTTTCTTGTTCTGTGCCTGTTGGCAATCTCCTTGTCTTTCCTTTCCTGCTTTCCCCGGACTGGGCTGAGGCGGTAGGTCTGAAACATGGTGCTGTGCGGGGTCCTCAGAACGTGTGGGCTAAGTGGTAGAGGAGCTTCTGTCTGCTCTCTCTTGTTGCTTTCTTGCTACCTCCAGGCCTTGTCATGATCATGAAAGCCAGTAGCAAACCACGACTCAAGACTCGCCAAGACCCAACCCTTTTGTCTGGATGCGTATGTAGTCCGTTTTGGCAAGGGCAGGCATTGGTGACTAACTCTGGTTTCCCAGAGGGCTAGTAAAGTTCTGGGCGTCTAAGTCTGGTTTAAAGCAGGGATTGTGGGGGGGGGGGGAAAGAAGACAAAAGACAGAGACTGAGAAGGAAAAAAAAAAAAAAGAAAAGAAAAAGGAAAAAAAAATAACTGTCCGTTGGGGGAAGATACTCCTGACCATTGTCTGCTGTCCTCCCTCCTGAGACCCTGGTGGCCAACCATTTGGCCTCTTTTTCTTATTATTTTTAAATGTTCTTATTTATTTTTTTTTTAAATAGATAACACATTAACTTGGTTTGGAAACCAAAAAGTATAAAACATAACACACTGAAATTCTCCCTCCTATTCTCTTTCCCATCCTCCCAGCTTCCTTCCTGCCTGTACAGGAAGCCAAGGTTCTTTCTTAAGAGTATGACACTCACATGAATGCAAGTATAGATTCTTACTTTGCCATTGGTTCCTCTATCTGTGTATCTTTTCTCTCACGCTCTTATTGTATTTCCTTTTATTCTACTCTCAATCATTCTTTGTTGGAGCCTTTTTTTTTTTTTTAGGAGAAAAATGAGTGGTCCTTTGTTTTACTTATGCCTGATGCCCTGAGCCAGTTCACAGGTGTGCTTGTCTTTTCCCCACAGATGAAGTGGAGAGTGAGAAATGGTACCTGTCTGCCGAATTTCCTTCAGCCACCATCAAGACGGAGCCGATTACGGAGGAGTCACCCCCAGGACTTGTTCCCTCTGTCACTCTGACCATCACAGCCATCTCCACCCCGTTCGAAAAGGAGGAACCTCCTCTGGAAGTGAATACTGGGGTACACTCAATTGTCTTCCATGTAAACAAATGAGATCAAAAGACTTAGCTTCTCATTCTCTAATAAGGCATTTAATCTGTTTGGAGCTAGTGGCTGTATATGTCTAAGAATAGCTAACTATGTCTGTCTGTCTGTCTGTCTGTCTGTATATATGTGTCAAGGATATGTTGCTTTAGTGCAGCATTGATTATATAATTTCCTTTAAAGGCATTGTCCAGAAAAATTGGTAGCAAGTATGATTTGTTTTTTATATGATTGCTACTACAAAATAAACCCACAGGTGGATATCCATGGTAAATAAAGGAAATTCTCCATGTATTGATTTTTAAGGCAGTGGAAAGGTCCTGGTTAAGATGATGGGGCAGTTCATGGCTTACAGAGCCACGGCGATTGGGAATGCTAGTGCCTGTGCAATATTTTACTCTCCTACTGCAATGCTGAGTTGCAATGGCTCAATTCGTGGGTCACACATCTACCAATTCTTATAGTGTTGCCCATGGAAATGTGAGAAATTGGGAATTTCTTCCTTGCTCCATTCCATGCCGACAGCAGGTAGAATTTTACCTTCTCTCTGGGTATTTCCAGTGTCTGCCAATAGACCAGAATCATAACTTGTGCATCTCTTTACAGATGTTAGAGCAAGTCCTCACTTTCCTTAATTTAAAGTCTCAGGTGAAAAACAGTGACTCCACAGACATTCTTTCGCATTTCTTTTTAAAAATATATATATTTTATTGATTTTTTACAGAAAGGAAGAGAGAGGGATAGAAAGTTAGAAACATCAATGAGAGAATCATTGATCAGCTGCCTCTTGCCACACCCCCTACTGGGGATGTCCCCGCAACCAAGGTACATGCCCTTGACTGGAATCGAACCCCTGGGTCTTTTCAGTCCGCAGGCCAACACTCTATTCACTGAGCCAAACCGGTTTCAGCTCCACTGACATTCCTTAAGTTAGATCTCTTCTGAGCAAGATGTAGTCATTTACCTGTTCAGGACAAGGTGGCACAGAGCAGTAGCGCCACCCCCACTTGGCTGCCCGCTCATTCTCATTGCGCTTTACATTCCATTAATGAGAAGACAGGGAGTAGGCAGAGTATCTGCAGCTGCCCTTGAGAGCCTCTTGCTCAGTAGCTACCTGAGTCTCCTCACTGGATGGGGCTCCTGCCTATAGACTTTAGATGGTTTCAAGTAGCTAGAAAGGTCAGGGTCATGGCCTTGCTCCCTGAGCATGGACCAGATGCCTTTTCTCCTACCGAAGTTTTTTCCTACCGAACTGTTCATGGGTACGTGTCGCCAGTCATCAGGCAGCTTGGAGAGCATGAGGGTGATTTGCCCAGGGCTTACTCTGCGTGAACTGCTGCAGACTACTTTGTGATAAGATGCATTTCTATTCCTGTAAAAACAGTAGAAAAAAGACTAGAAAGTGAGCCCTGGGCTTTTAATTTGAGGATTCTGAGGGTTCCCTCCGCTGGAATGCCAGGCTTGGCAGTGAGAGGGGGGTGTAAGGCTAAACCAAAGTCACCTGTGTACAGCTGGCTCCAGAGACACGGGGCTGCCCCGCAGAGAAAGACGCAGATGACAAATGGCTCCCTTGTGTGTTTCATCGAGGTTGTTACTGGTTTTTTTTTTTTTTTTTTTTTTAAACTGTGTTTGAAATTCTTCCTTTAGGTTGATTCCTCGTGCCAGACAGTCATCCCCAAGATTAAGCTGGAGCCTCACGAAGTGGATCAGTTCCTAAACTTCTCTCCCAAAGAAGGTCTGTCTCTCTCCCGGGCCCCTTCGGGTTGGTGCAGGTCGGAAGAGAAAGGCAATGGGAGCAAGTGCTGGGCCCAGTCCGTCCCAAAGCCACAGGTTGCTTCATGAACTAGCTTTGTTCTTAAAAACCTTGATTCTACATACAAACTTTGAAAGCTGCATTTTATTTTTTTTCATATATGTACAGGCTTCACTTCCCCCTAAATCTTTTACTGTACTTGGACTCCTCACCAGGGTGACTTTTCAGAACCTCTCTAGCCGGCTTGACCTGGATGGAGAGAAACAAGAGCACGGGGCCTCCTGCCGTCCTGGTGGGAACCTGTGCACACAGCCAGCTCCCGTGGGGCGTGGTGACCCACAGAGACAGAGAAGCAGACATCCCCCAGTCACCCACTGACACAGCTCTAGCCAAAACTCTTCGTGGAGTGAATTCATAGTCTATCTGTCGGATCAATCCCTGTCTCCAAAGTGGCTTTGGGATGACAGCAGTTGCACGGAGCCTGCTCACTGTCTGTAATGGTCGTGCACCTCATGGGCTTCTTGTCACCTATTCAGAACTTAGCATCACACTTGACATTGGCATAGTTTCCCGTTTTTCTGCCCCCATGTCAGCTTCTTTCTGAGGTCTCCCTGTTGTTCTCACAGCAAGCCCATAGTTAGGAATCCTGACCACAGGCCCCGAGTCTCATCGAGATTAGTAAAGGTCTCTCTGACTTGTTTATTCAGACCCTCCTGCAGATCCTGCTCTTCTTAATTCTGGGTCTGCAGCCATGCGGTGACCTCCTTTTTATTTATTCAAGGCTAGTGCATCAGTGTGGTCAGCAGATAAGCAATTCGTATATGTGCTTGCCACAGAGGTATGTGTGCTGTGATACACACGTAATGTGTATATGAGCAGTTCTCATGGACACACAGTCCTCCCTCATTCCTCTAGAAACTAAGTTAGGATTTGATTGCGACCATTTAATCGGGGTAATAATGCGTTTGCCTTTATTATCAATTTAAAAAAAGATTAAATTTAAAAGCTTAATAATGTTGATCAGAGTCCATATTGAGACAGTATTTCTTTGCACCGGGTGATACACTAGTACATTTGTGCCTTTCAGCTTTAGATACGGCTGTTTTCTTCATTTTTATGACTCCATTATTATTATCAAATACATGTTGCTGTTTTCATTTCTGTTGCAGTCTGCTTCAGAAAGCTTGGTAACTACGAGTGTGTCCCAGGGTGGCCTCGGAATCCGGGTCACTGGAGGAGAGGTGTCTGGAGAGTAAACAGCAGCCCTTCCTTGTTAGCCTGACAAACAGATCAGGAAATCCAATATCCTTGAAGGCCTTCCAGCTTCTAGGCAGAGCGGCTGATGCCCCAGCCCTTTTCGTAACCTGAGAGCTGCATTTCAAATGGTATTTAGCCATCTGATACTAAGGCACCTGTGGCCAAGTCAGTAACTCTTCACGGGTAGGAAAGAGGAAATTCATTTTTTTCCTGTCTTGTTTTGTTTGTTTGTTTGTTTGTTTGTGGGTCACCCTCTGTTTAGAAAGGAGAAAAGTGTTAGAATAATTTGGGCTGTGCCAACTAAAAGGGACAGTTAGCCCGGAGGAACTCCTGGCTGGTCCTCCAGAATGTCACACACAGCCCCACGTCTGCTCTGGTTTTTGTTGTTGTTAGTTGGTTTACAGGCACTTTACAGTGCTTTTTTAGAAGCATTATTGAAAGGTAAACTGAGGCATATTATGCATTTTGAGTTTATTTTGAGTAAAGTTGATCGGACCGGGCAGCACCAAGCCGGAAGCGGTTAGAAGTGTTTCACCAGCGAGCTGGGGAGAGACTCCCAGAGAAGGGGCAGAACAAAGGGCTGAGCAGGTTCTTGCTGGCTGTAGCGTGCGGCCTCGTTGGCTGTTTGTGGTGGGTGTCCCCAGGTTTCGGTTCGGTAACCTTGAAGCATTTGCGGGCTTGGCTCTGGGCTGCTTACATAGGCCGCAGGCCGCCACAGTGCTGGAGGCGCCTCGGCACAATGGCCTCCTTGTTGAGTTCATTTAACACCAGCAAGTGCCCTCGGTATTCACGCGTTGGGGAAACCGTGGCTAACACACTCAGGACTCCTTTCTGGGTGAGCACATAGTTAAGGTGCATACCTACCCTCCTTAGCTGCCTGGAACTGTTGGCAGGGGAGTTGGCAATAGCGGTATATAGGCTTGTTCTTAGAATATTCTTCAGCCCTAAGACTACCTATAGACACTAAAAAGCCCAGGGAGCTTTTTGGCAGAGAAAAGGGGAAGCATCTAGCAAAAAGTAGTGTGTTAGAAAAAGAGAAAAGAAGGGTTAGGATGAGAGAGAGAATAAGAGAGAGAGAAAAACACGAATGTGGGCTGTGAATGGAGATGGGACCCCATGGCCGAAAGGGGTGGCTGAGTGGACCCTGAATTACCGCCTCTCCCTCAGACATCAGGTGTTTCAGTGGGAGGGTGAGCCGTCCCAGAGGCAGCTCTGGGTGGGGCCGTTTATCTTAGGCCCTTTTCACAGACTGGGCATCAGACCTTTATTTGAAGAGGAGGAGAAGGCTGAGGCCTTCCCATGGCCCTGTTGATGTAAGAAATGTCCAAACTGTAAAGATTTTTTTTTTTTTTAGCCAAACTGATGACAATTGCCAGGAAGGAAATCTCAACAGATTGAGAAAATGCTCCAGAGAATTGCACCTCGTTTTATACATTAGAATCGAAGAGGAGACGGAAGGAGGGTTACATGAAACCCATGGCTGGTAGAATGAGGCAGTGGGGAAAAGTGAAGCGGGAAATCTCTGGGATTTGATCAAAGACAAAGTGGAGGAACTCACTTCTTTTACATTGGTGGATACGGGATGGTTAATCATTAACGCCTGGGGGGAACAAGATGGCACTGAGGGTTCTGTGGTCTTGGCTCTGGTGTGGGTGGTTGTGCCCTCAAGGCGTAAGCAAAGAAGATTACGCTGACATTTCAAAGATATGTTATCCGAGCTGCATAAGAACAGTGGGCAGAGCTCCCTTAAGATAAAGATTGACCTTTGCTAAGGAAGCTGTAGGCCTGGGAGGTGAAGGCGTACCAGGCCCGCCCAGTCAGGGATTTACGGTCAGACCATCCTGGGCTGGGCCGGCCTGCCATGTGGCCCCGAGTTTGCCAGGTTTATTGCATGTCCCCTTTTTGTTTACAACCCCTGGCAGTCCTCTGGCCAAGCCAGCCTCAGTGTGTGTGAGGCACCCAGCACCGTGCGGGGTTCAGAGCCCCTGTGCTAGGAACTGTGTGGCCCCAGGAGAGGTGTGAGGTGACAGGCTGACCAAGGTTGTGTCCTTTGGCTCAAAAACTGTGGCTGGTACAGCGGGAAGGTCCGTCATTCAGACAAAGGAGGGAGACCCCAGAGCTTGCCTGTCAGGCTGAACTGAGAGTGGATTCTTCTGGAACCCATCCATCTACTACTGACCCAGGCTCCCAGGCTCCAGGAGAGTGCGTGTGCCTCTTTGAAGATGGGCAAAGGATGGACTCAAAGATGGGGGACTCTGCAGGAGAAAGCCCCTCTGCCCCTATTTCTTTTCCAGTGCCTACTGTCTACAGGTGGATTTAGTACTTTCGAATGAAGAGTGCCCGGCATTTCACCTGCGGGCCTACTGTGCACATTCCTCCAGAGACAAATGAGCTTTCCTCAAACCCTCATGGGCTCTTAGGGTTTGCTCTTAAAAAAAAAAAAAAAAAAAAAGATTATAATACATTTTCAAGGTTTACAAATCCAACTATAAAAATGATACAAAATGAATACAGCGAAAATTTATGCCAACACTTTCCCTATCATCCCTGCCATGAGATCATCATTCGTTTAGTTTCTTCTTTATTTTCCAGCGTTGCTTTTTGCAGATGCAGCAAATATAACTCTGTATTCTCTTTTCTCCTTTCTCATCTGAAAGGAGGGCTACTTTATATACTCTTTGCACCTTGGTTTCCCCCCACTCCCCTTTAACAATATGTCGTGGAGATCTTTTTGTATCAACCCGTGCAGATCCTCGTTGATTTGTTCAGTCACCCCACGTCCCGCTGTGTGGATGTGTAGGTTGGTTAGCTGCCGAGAATCCTGCCCGGCTGCCTGCTGTCTGATGTGTGGAACCCGCTTTCTGTCCCTCAGCCTCCGTGGACCACCTGCACCTGCCGCCCACCCCTCCCAGCAGCCACAGCAGTGACTCCGAGGGCAGCCTGAGCCCCAACCCACGCCTGCACCCCTTCGGCCTGCCGCAGACCCACAGCCCAGCCAGGGTGGTGCCGCGGGCCCCCTCGGCCCTCTCCAGTTCCCCGCTCCTCACCGCGCCTCATGTAAGTCTTCGTTGTCTTGGGACAGGAGCTCTTTGCATTCTGTCATCTGGCCCTTCACCCTCAATGGCTGCCATTCGAGGCCACGTGATTAGTATTCTGGTGAGAAACATCTAGGTCTAAAACAGGGTGATAATCTCACAGAACGTTTTAAGGAATGGCTTGTCATCTTACCTGGTTCTCTTCCTGCGCACGCCTCCCATTTTGTTCCGATGTTTATCTTACATGGCTGTGGCATGAGGAATACAAGTGCGTTGTTTCTCGCCTCTGAATCATCTTACACGTGTTTACATCCACGTAGGCGATCCTTATGATGACCTGCAGTAGGAAATGCCCTTGTTTTTAAATAAGCAATCTTTGCTGAACTTAAAAATCTCTCGGGGATTAAATGCTTTGGTGTCTAAAGCTTAAAAAGGTAGTTTAACCTTTTTTCCCCCCCCGCCTGGTACTCCTTTTAACCCAGAGACAAGTTAGAAGTCATGGCACCGTTCGTCCTTAGTATACATAAGGGTACCATTTTCCAAATAAAAAATAGGGGTAGATCATTAACTTCTTATTGTACTGAGGAATTAATTGGTTTCCATTAATTCTTGAACACCATCATCAATTTATTGAATTTATAATATCAAATAAAGAAATTTGAATGAAATGGGATAATTAAAAATTCTGTAGAAAATTGCCTATCAGCATTATTTTGAAAATTTGCATTTAGTCCCAGTAAGTTCTCTGGCCCCCACAGCCTCTTATATCACCACCACTAAGGACAAGGGAATGAACTCTTTCCACTCTGTCTCAACTCTAAGCTAACCCATATGGTTACAAGCACAGCCTTCATCCTCTGCACTGTGTCCCCCGACAGCTTGTCCCTTCTTCACACTCCTGGGGGATCCTCCAATGCCCTTCTCCACACCAGGTGTGTTTCCCTGCTGCTGCCAAGCCCTCTGCATTAGCTCCGCCCCCTGCATTAGCTCCACCCCTACATTAGCTCCGCCCTCTGCATTAGCTCCGCCCTCTGCAGCTGCAAGAAACCCACCCCCCCACCCCCCCGGGGGGCAGAGGAGCATCCTTACTTTTCAAAATACTGCCTTTTGCTTGGACTGGCCCCCTCTCTGGAGACATCGCCCCTTCCCTTCAGGAGGCCCAGTTCAAGTCTTCCCTCCCACACTAATGCCTCCCCTTCTCATGCAAACTCACTTAAGTTCTATTTCTCCAACATTTTAAATTTTTCTTGAGTTAGTTTTACCCCTCAGCATTGAACCGCTCTCATCCTTTCCTGTGTATCAGTGCAGTCTCAGTCTTGATCAGAAGCTCCTGGAAAGATGGAGTTGTGTTGAGTCCTCAGTGGCATTTAGCACAGAGCAAGCACATAGACACACATTTTGACTAATTATAAACACATTGTTCTATTATGGGTTAAATGAGATGAGCGACAATTTTCATCCTCAATTGATGGACCATCTGGAACTGTAACTAAAGTTAGAAACTTCATGGAACGGGCCCATGGGTGTAGCCCTGGCTGCTTAGCAGTGAGCTGAGAACTGGAAGCGGCCCCTGGTGTGTAGAGAGCCTCCCACAGAACTGCGTCTTCAGGAGCACAGCAAACTCTCCCCCGAGTGCATCCTCGTCACCTCAAGGCCGAGCAATCTCCAGGGATGTGTGAAATGAATCCTGTCCTTAACTTTGGACAATGTGGCTGGTGGGGTGCTTTCTGGGAAATAGTGGGGGAGGTCTCCTGACCTTTCCCTTGAATTATAATCCTTGAGTTATAACACTCAGCGAGAGAATCTTCTCTCTCTCTTCCTTCCTTCCTTCCTTCCTTCCTTCCTTCCTTCCTTCCTTCCTTCCTTCCTTCCTTCCTTCCTTCCTTCTTTCCTTCCTTCTTCTCCTCCTCCTCCTCCTCCTCCTCCTCCTCCTCCTCCTCCTCCTCCTCCTCCTCTTCCTCCTCCTCCTCCTCCTTCTTATTATTATTATTAAAAATGACTTTAGAGAGGAAGGGAGAAGGAGAGAGAGACAGAAATCAATGATGAGAGAGAATGATGAATCAGCTCCCTCCTGCACACCCCGCACTGGGATTGAGCCTGCAAGCTGGGCATGTGCCCTGACCAGGAATTGAGCTGTGACCTCCTGGCTCAACCACTGAGCCACGCCAGCCTGGCTCTTCTTCATTTCTGCTACAACTTCAAAGTACCTGTTCCTCAGCAAGAGCAGATGGGCAGCCTTTTCCCTCTGCTGTTTGAGAGGATCTTATAACAGCCTTCTCACCCCTCTGGAGGGCTGGCCTCAGTGTGCCCAGCTGTTCCTCTCTGACCTCCTTCTCCTCCTGGGTTTGCACAGAAACTGCAGGGCTCAGGCCCCTTGGTCCTGACAGAGGAGGAGAAGAGGACACTGGTTGCCGAGGGTTATCCCATCCCCACCAAGCTGCCCCTGACAAAATCAGAGGAGAAAGCGCTGAAGAAAATCCGGAGGAAGATCAAGAACAAGGTGAGCCCTTCAGGTCTGGGTACTTCAGTGAGCGAAGACCAGAGCAGAATCGAGCCCACGAGCCCTCCCGCCCTCCTGCCCTCCCATCGCCAGCCCTGGTCCATCCCACTGTGGGGCCGAGGCTCAGCCTTCCCTTCCCTGGGCCAGGAGCAGTGGGAGGGTGGTCACCTGCTGTCCCTGTCTTCCCCCAGCCCCATCCTCCAGCCTCTGGGTCAGTGGACTCCCCATTGGGCATACACATGCTTGGTGCCCAAGATGATTCATTCAGGGGTGGGAGGAAATTGTTAGAGCATTAATGTAAATAATTTTTTAAAAATCAGCCTTTGAAATGTCTGTTTTATGATGTACAGAATATTTCCTGCTAGTAGGCCTGTCTGTAATTTATTTATTTACAATACAATTTTATTTTTCAGTTACAGTTTATATTCCATAATATTTTTTTTATTATTATTTTCAGGTGGGTAGGATAGTGGTTAGACAATCCGACACTTTAAAAGTGTTTCCTCCAATATTTCCAGTACCCAACTGGCACCCTACATAGTTGTTACCCTGTTACTGATTATATCTCCTGGGCTGTACTTTACCAGTATATCCCCATGACTGTACTCGTCAATTACTTCACCTGTTTCCCCCAGTCTGCCTGTAATTTATAGATAAATATAAATACTCATGGGTACTTACTTAATCTTTTTTTAAAAATATTGTGGGTGTTTTTGTTTAATTAAAAAAATTCTGCAGACCATGTTCTGGGTTAAGGAGTAGCCACAAAAGTGAGCAGGGCTCTCATGATTTCTGTGCTAGCAGCCTCCTCTCTTCTTTTGACATGACTGGCTTTCTGATATAACTGGAGTTTAATCCTCCCCCCCCCCCCCCTTTATATCCCAGATTTCTGCGCAGGAGAGCAGGAGAAAGAAGAAGGAGTACATGGACAGCCTGGAGAAGAAGTAGGTCCCTGCCAGGCTGGTGCGTCTATTGGGCAGTGTGCGCAGAGGAGTGGGGTGTGCAGAGCTGAGTCCTGCCCGTGGCCAGCAGGAACGCCTGGCTTCATCAGCTGGGTTTCGCCTGACACCTAGTGGTTTTCAAAGGCAAAGCTTATAGAATGGCAAGAAGCAAAAGAACACTCAATCTTTTTTTTTTTTTTTTTTTTTAATATATTTTATTGAGTTTTTTACAGAGAGGGATAGAGAGTTAGAAACATCTGTGAGAGAGAATCATCGATCAGCTGCCTCTTGCACACCTCCTATTGGGGATGTGCCTGCAGCCAACGTACATGCATTTGACTGGAACCGAACCCGGGACCTTTCAGTCCACAGGCCAATGCTCTATCCACTGAGCCAGACCGGTTTCGGCTCAACCTTTTATTTAAATTAAATTTATTGGGGTGACATTGGGTAATAAGATTATGTCTCCAATATACAGTTCAACAATACATATCTGTACATTGCACTGTGTGCCCACCATCCAAAGTCCAATCTTCTTCCATCAGTATTTGTTTAACGCGCTCTCCCCTTCACTTACCCACCCCCTTCCCTCTGGGAACCACCATACTGGGGGCTGTGTCTGTGCGTTTTTGTTTGTTTGTTTTTCTTGTGCTCATTTGTTGCTTTCAGTTTTATATCCCACAGAGAAGTAAAGTCACATGGTTCTTAACCTTCCCTGCTGGACTTACTTCACTTACCATGATATTCTCAAGGTTCATCCAGGCACATGATCTTAGTAGGATTTGAACCATGTCCGTTTCCAACCAAAGATCATCCCGTCTCTGAAGGCTTCCTTTTTTAAATAAGTACAAATATTCACAGTCACGCCCTCTGGAACAGCCAGAGGGAGCACAGCTGATTGATCAGAGCCATGCCTAAGGGAAAGCAGGAGATGGAAGGTCTGATTGGCCTTGTTATTTCCTGCCCACTGTGAGGCAGGCGACAGGCAAGAGGATTCTCACACTTGAAGGCAGCCTTTGCTCTTTGAAAAGCCTGGGATTTCAGAAGGGCTGTTAGAAAGTATGATTAAATACAATTATGTACTGGCCCTAGAAAACAGTGCTCTATAGCCGACAAGACAAGCTAACTTCGCTTTTAGATGGGAATGAGGCCCCAGACCCAGAAACGAAGCTTCATGGGTACCTCGGGGGAGGAGTGGCCAGTGAATCCTGGCTGGTTCTTGAAGTTTCTACTGAAAGATAGTTTTCCTTAAGTAGTCCCATTCTGTCCCATCAATTCTGTAATCATCCAGGGGTAAGAAGTTTCTATGAAAACCTCTTTTTTTTGTCTCTGTGGGGCACGCATGCTCCAGTGCCCGGATTCCTTCTCTGAGGTCCTGGGTTCCTTTCCTCCCTGTTTGCCCCGCCCTAAGCCTGTTGGCTTCCGATGAGTCCTTCTGGCCAGGAGTACCGCTGACAGCACCCAGACCCCGTAGTCCAGAGAGAGAAATGTGATGGGTGGTGAGAGCGGTAGGGAAGAGGTGAGAGAAAACAAGGTTGCAACGCCCAGGAGAAGTTCACATTTTGTACCATCCTGTTCATTTTTTATCATTGAGGCACTTATTACTAAACTATTTTTTTTTTTCCTTCAGTCTTCTCATCTTCTTCCCAGTTCAGGTTGTCCATGCTCTTTCCCTCACTTTCCTGGGGTAGTTGGTACTCGATCTTCTTTCTCTGCTCCCCAGTTATCTCCACCTGAGCTCCTGGCTCAGCATGGCTCTACTGAGCAAATGCATTTGCTTTTTTCTATTCCCTGTTCAGGGTGGAGTCTTGTTCAACGGAGAATTTGGAGCTTCGGAAGAAGGTTGAGGTTCTGGAGAACACCAACAGGTAAGTGTTGCTGGAGTGAGAGCTGGTTGAGCTGCCTGATGGGAAGTGGGAAGAAGGGAGCAGAGAGATCCAGGACCAGGGCTGGAAGGAAAGTGGAGAAGATCACATTGAAAGTATAGTTGTATCAGGATGCTCAGCACAGCTGTACCCTACCACACATAGAATTAGATATATACATGAAATGCACACATGCACACACATACATGCAGTCATACACAGACACGTGCGCGCACAAGTAACACGCACCACATACATTAATACATATATGCGCACACATACATGTGATCATATGTAAATACACATATGCACATGTGCACACACCCATGCACCTACATGTTCTTTGTCTTTTCTAAAACACGTGGGACTGATGTAGACGCTAATTCTGACAATTCAAGCAGAGGAAAATTGACTTTTAGGTAAGCAACATGGTCATTATTTTAAGGCTTAGCATTAATGCCTTCTAACAATTTTGCAAATGCTAAAGGACCAGGTTAAATCTATGTGCCTGTCATTTGATAATAACATCAAGTCATGGTTTGTTGCTCAAACAGCAGACTGATTAATCGTAAGTTAAAACTACCAGGAGGGGGAATAATGGACACTGTGAACCCCCTGAACTTCCCTCTATATTTCTGGGAATGCACCCTAATATGGCAGAGCAGGGCAGTGGCTTCAAGTGCTCTGTAGACAGACAGCAGAAGTGACTGTCACTGGCTCCGCTGGCTCACCTTGACCCCCTGAGGCAAAAGAGATGCTCCAATAGCACTTTACTTTCACGGCCACCGTTGGCCATTAGTTCCTGAGGCTTCATCCTTTCTTTTCTTCACCCTCACTCCTGCTGGAGTGGTTCTTGGATCCTGACCTCCCTAACAGGGTCAGCATCCAACTCTTTAGCATCAGGAGCAGGTAGGAATTCACACACCCGCCCTGTCCTAGCACTTCCTGCCTTGGAAGGCTGGTATTTCTGAGTGGGACAAGTCCAGGCCATGAACTTGTGAAAGAAGACAAGGAATCTATCAAATATAAGATAACCTTGGCGTTTGTCTGGGGGCTTCGCATGTTATATCTTCTAAAAACCACATGGGGGCAGCAGAGGCATGGCACAAGCTGTGCTGCAATCAGAGCAGTGGGTTTTTGAGATAAAGGGTCATCTCTCCTCTGAATGTATAATAAAACAACAAAACCACACATGGCAATTGTAAAACACACACACACACACACACACACACACACACACACACGGAAATGTAGTCAGTTGTTTTATTGCAGTCTTTTTAACCAAACAAATATTTACATTTTGGGATATTTTACAAATTTGGAATATTGTATACTTGAATACATTTCTATTGTACATACTCTTTTGTTAAGAAAATTTTTCATTTAACAAAATATGATGGCCATATTTTTAAATCTCTACAGAATCCTTATTCCTATCAGATTTGGTAAAGAGCCACCATCTGAGGAACGTTGGCACATCTGATTCCATGGAACAGCAACCTGCGCGTTTTGTCAATTATTTTTAAATAGTGGCCATAGCTATGTTTATATGGTATTAAAGATTACATAACACGAGGTACAGGAACGTATGGCATGTTTGAGCATGGGGTCTGCATATCTCATGTTATTCTCTGAGAGTCAGCGATGGGTTTCCTTCTGGCTCCTTTCCTGGTGGAGCCTTTCTGAGCCATTCAGCCTGCTGGGCCCTCCCCTGGGAAAACCACCTTCGTCCATGGTCCCTGCTCTGACTCGCAGGAGCCTTCACTGGGACTTCCCCCACCTGTGCTCTCCTTGCATGTTTTCTCCCTTCAAGACTTACTTTTCCTGGTAGACAAACCTTTTATGGTGCTAACGGCTGACAGCTGATGGATCTGCCATCTTCCCACAGATACTCTTGTCGGGGAGCCTTTAGGGTTGTCGTTACTGAGTCCAGCAGCTTTCAGTGTGTTTTGACTCAAAAGCTCAGGAAATGAAAGCCGAGCTGCTCTTGATGCCACAGGGATGTGGGCCTGCGTTCCCTCTGACTTCTCTCCCATTTCCCCGCTCCCTGCCAAGGCCTGCCTTGCTCCAAGGGCACTGCACTAGCCAGTGTGACCATGATGTGAACCGTGACAGTCTCCTGCTCTCCACCAAGCCTGAGGAGTTGGTGTTTGGGGGGTGTGATAAGGGGAGACTTTTGGACCCTTTCCTCATGTCACATCGTGTAGGTGGCCCCGTGTTTGGAATTAGTACAGGGCTGGGCCTCATGCACACACACCTGTGTTTGCGTTCTGTTTACGCTTCGTGTGGCGGTGTCCTTTGGAGGTAGCCGGACAGAAGTAGAGGTGACTGCAGAGGGACTGGGAACCTGAGTCACCAGAAGCAGGATGGGGCACCTTGGGTGCCATCGTTTCCTGACAGGACATGGTGGGAAAGGTGAATGAGAATTTCATCATTGACCAAATTAAAGAAAAAAATAATACCTCTTTCGTGATATTGAAACCAGACACCCAGGTCTGGGCTTCCTGGCACTATTTGAGCCAATTCAGCAGAGACAGGGTTGAATCATATATGAGCATTTATTCCAATAATGCTGGCAGGATGGGAAAGAAGTATCTCAGTGGTATTTTAAATATCATCTTACTTAACCTCTAATCACTTCATTTCTCTGGGCAGCAGGTCATCCACAAAAATCTGCACGTGTGCGCCCCCACCCCCAACCCCTGCCCAAAGCAGCTGCTTATACTGGGTAGAAGGACAAAGATTACACAGGGAAGTGGGCAAAAGGAATAGGAATGGGCATGCACAATGGGTGTGATGGTTACAGTTTACAGGCACTGTGGGCTGGGGTTTTGCAAAGTTGCTCGGAGTTTGCAAAGGGCTGGCACCTCTGGTTTTCTGCAGCCAGGCTGTTAATCTTCCCATGATTACAGCTCCCTGATGGGGAGAGGGGGCAGCATTTCCAAGTGAGCTCCCAGGTACCACTCCCAGCCAGGTTACTCCGTGCTTTCTTAAATCAGAACGAAACACTCAGGCTTAACGGCATGATTAACATTCCTTATTTTACTTCTTATAACTGACAGCTAGTCCCCAATATTCTATTTCTGCCTCTAACTTTACTATTTCTGTGCTGCACGCCACAGGGACTTTTCCATCCAGATGAAAACGAGTGCTCAGATGAGAGTCAGCTCCGAATCTTTTGGTTTATACCGTCCTCGGCAGCAGCCACCTAGCATAGTGTAGGTTTCTAGGTGGAAAGGCCCTATTAGCTGAGCTCAGAACTGGAAGAGGACGGGGATAGAGAGGAGCTGAGGTCCTCTAAACCCTCCTGCAGCCTTCCTCCGGGGCCTCTGGCGCCGAGCTGAGACAGTGTGAAAGCACCTTCGCACTTCTGCTGAGGCGATCCACTAATTTCCGTCCTCAGGAAAAGTGTGAGATGAGAGTGAGCTTCCCGGGGGGGCCTCCCTCCTACGCTCAATCAGGAAATGCATTTTCACTTATGAAGTGTAGGCGAGGCTTGGGCATATCACTCCCCAGCTCCCAAGGTGCAGGCTCTCTGGCCCTGCCCTGGTCTCATTCCTGAGAAACCCTGTGTTTCCCCTTTATAATCTTCTGCACAAGTGATACACACCCTGCCCAGCTTTGCAGTTTTCGGGATTTGTGACTCAGTTTGTTCTATTCTTCTTTTATTTTGCTGGGAGTCCCCCCTTTTGTGATTTGTAGAATCATAGGAGCTTAGATTTTAGTTGTATTTTAGAAATCATCTTATTTAACTTCAAGTTACTTCATTTCTCAGAAGGGGAAACTGAGGCCCAGTGAGGTGAAGGCCATTCAGACATTTAGAGGTAGAATGGGGCTCACTCGGCTACTTACCTTGGTTTCTGGTCTGCTGTGCCCTTTTCTCCTTTGACACTGCCCTTCTGAAGCACAGGGCCAAGTTTAGACCTGAACAAGAGGGCCTTGACTTTGAGGGCCCTGGCTCTCTTCTAGTCACACCCCTCTGGACGGTATGAGTGGTCAGCAGGGCCAAGGGGATGTGTCTATCCAGAGCTCTTGCTGTATCCATTCGGACCATACCCTGGTATCTAGGATTCTGGAATTCCCTGCTCCAAGGGTCTTAGTCCATTTGCAGGGCCTGTGTGGAACTCTACTCAAACAAAATCTGTTCTATGAAGGGTTGACTAGGACATCAAAGGGTGATGTCCACTAAGCCAATGGGTGACTAAATGCCGCTCTTTGTGATCACTGAGTATGGAGTTTGAACCTTGGCAGTGTGTGCCTGGAATCCTGCACTGTGTGTCAGATCTGGGGTTGCATTGGGTCTGATTTACAGAAGTCATGAGACTCCTGGGTCAGAGACAAAGGACTTCATTACTCCCAGCACAGCAGCAGCACGAGCATCAATTCTCCTTGCCCCCGCGTTCCATGATGGATCTGGGTAGATGCAGTGTTCTCAGTGGGTTTCTGTGCACAGCTAAGAAACCCTGAGCTTGGGGGATCCACTGCTTTTATAGCAGGCAGTAAAGAAGCCTGCTTTTCTGCTCAGGGGGAGGCATTACCTCATCTCTCAAGGTTATCAGCTTCATAAATAACCCATGTTGTGTCCCCTGGAAAAGAGCAGTCAGGGTCTTACAGTCATGGCATAGTCAGTACAGCATGCAGGAGCATGAGAGACCCAAGGAAGGCTATGTCTCCTGGCTGCTGTGGGGCACAACCAGAGATGAGAAGTGGAGGGCAGTAGGCTATAGCCAGGAGTGTTCTGCCCTTACACTGCTTTCGGGCAAGGAACCCTGGGAGCCCAATAATTCTAAACCTGGCCTTGGAGGGAGGTGGGAGGAGCAGGTGTTGGGGGCACTTGAAGGCAGAGTTTGCCTGGCTTGGGGTAGGTTGGATGAGAAGATGGGTGTTGTGTGGGTCTCATTTCTACCCTTTCCACACACCTCCTGGAAACCCTGCTCGTCCTGACATATATCTCTGTTGTTATCAGAAATAAAAATTCCTCAATTTTTCTCTGTGACCTTCAT